CGACTCTCCATCGAAGAGGAGACGACCATGAAAGGAAAGTTAGGATGACTTGCAAGACGAGCCTCATGTATGCCATAATGACCCATATCAGCTCCAGACCGGTAATCCACAAACGACTTCAAGTGGTACAAAAGCTCCGTTAGGTCACGAATGTATTCCGTGGTACACATTTCCGGATACCTCATCCACAATCGCATCAAATCTCCATTCTGCATCAAAGTATTGCACATTAAAAATAGAGTATTACCAAAGATGGAACGCTGAAAATCCCCATCATCATAATCCGCACCATCATAGGTCGGCTTCTTAGCACTCAACATGGCGAAGAAATAGTAGATGATCATTCCCAGTTGCCTCGCTTGGTCGAGAGTTATACCCCCGCGTAGAACCATGGTAGAAGACATACCAGTGTCCAAACAAGGAAGGAAGGACAATACCGAGAATTGTTTCTTAGCGTCAGAAGGAGGCGGTCTTTCCGGATCCACACTCCATGTGTTCATGTCCAAACCATTCCGGACAAAGACACTATCCATGACAGTAGTCAACAGCTGCTCGGAAGGTAATCGTAATGGTCCAAACGGCCCAAGTGACAGTTTGGCACGGTATCTTATCACCCGGACCATGGCAACCGCAGCTGCATTTCCGTCATTCTTATGATCCACACCCGACATAACCTGTCGTCCAAGTTCCGATGGCATGAGGATTCGAAAGACAGCTTCAGAAGACACTTGTCTTGCTGGTTCGCCATCTTTTCTGCAATGAACAACACCAGCACCCACATCACCGATGTCTTGGAGCAACCAAAAACAACATGATAGGAACACAGGTGGACATATTGTCCTTTGTTCCGGTGTGGAAATAGCCGCGTGCTTCGTTGACTCTAGTCGAATCTTGAGAGCACCCGGCTTTGCAACAACAGGCGAGTAAACAAGGCCACCATGAGGATGTCCCGGGATCATAGCAGCGGGATTTACCATTGTCTGATAGTATCCACCCATTCCGTCAGGCACGAATGTTGGGTGTGGGTACGGTGAATGTGGATACTGCGACGGTGGCGTTGGCTGGTATGGCGACGGCGTGTGATACACGCCCGGAGTCACGTGAGGATGTTGTTGCACTGGCATAGGATGGAACGGCGACTGCTGGACTGGCGCTGTGTGATACGGAGATGGTGCCCGTGCAAATGGATCGTGCATTGTAGGAACAGGAGGACTTGGGCTCCCCCGAAAAGGAGACGGAGTTGGTTGAAATGGCCCTGCATGGTCCCCAACATCCATCCTCGGACGCTTATGGGGCGCAAATGGGGAAGTCCAGTCCGCCTCGTCTCTATGAGGATGCGGTGTAGTCGTTCGTCCAGACTGTTGAAATGGTAGATGCTGCCGCTTTAATGGTGTTACAGTAGGTGCAAATGGATCCCCTGCATGAACATTATAACCGGCGTCGTCATCTTCAGGAGGAGAGACAGCTGGCACAGGTGCAAGAAAAGATGGCGACGTTGACCATGATACCCCCGTTTGGCGTCCTGTTGTCGGATCACGAGTTGGTGGTCTCGGGGTCGCTGCCATCTGTGCATACGGCCCACCTGCAGTTGGATTCGTCACCCTTCGTGGACCACCATCATTGGGTGGTGGTCCTAGTGTAGCGACATATGCGACCTCCTCCGTATCGGAAGAGGAATCAACTGGATCGTCCAATTGCTCACCTGAATGTAGTTTTTCAGAAGCTGCTAGAAAATCATCAAAAGATTCTCCTGGTTCTTCTTCCACCGGTCGCACCAGACGTTGTGGTTTATAACCTGGAGGTGCTTTTGCTGTTTTGGGAATATCTTTTACTGGATAAAGATGGAAGGGAGACGGGACCTCCACTGGGTCCAGTGTAAAGTTGGCACACCAATTCGGGCCATCATCGTTCCATCCATCCATGGGTCGCATCATTTGACTCAGAAAAGGTTGGCATTCAGCAGATAGGGTGCCACCACCACCTTGATCCAATGGATATTCCAATGTTCCGCGTTTAAGGAACATATGGTACTGCATCCGCGCCATCTGGAACGCCTTGGATTGGGCAGCGATAGGTCCACGTCTCACAATTTGAGAGAAATGATTGCGCAAGAAACGATCTTGTTGGACCTGAAACGGTGCCAACTGCTTACAATCACCAATCAGCGATTGTCCATTAGGGTTATCTATAGTTGGAAAAGTATCCCACAGAGGAAGAGCCGATACCACAGGTACGCCAAACGCCTGAGAATTAGCATTGACGGCGTCAAACCAATTTTTAATTGCCGCTTTTTGGGTGCCGAGAAGATGCAACAATCCCCCAAAAACCTTACTATTGCGATTCTCCAGAGAATCACAGAATTCGGCATAGCTAATTGTAGCTGGCCAAACGAAACCAACTGGGCATTCTGACATAAATGGAAAAATTAAAATTTTCCACGAATCTCCATTCAGCGGTTTCTGACCCAAGGCCAAACCATCAGACATGATCACAGGAAACAACGCTTCTGCAAAAGCCCGACGTCCTTCGTCCAGGGATACACCTAAGGTGGTACCGCACAGGGAACCCAACATCAAGTGATTCGGTTCATCAACTGGCCGAGGACACTTCAAGTGGTTCGTCACCGTGGCCTCAAAGACATCAGCCAACAATGGTGCACCGAAACCACTGTCTGAGCTCGTATTCGGTTTTGTCATTACCGGAGCAGAGATGAAGCATAGATGACAAGGTTCTCCGTCCGCCCCTTTCCGAACAACTAGCGCAAATCCTGGTGGTTTGGTTTCACCAAGCATCAGACGCTGATGGTAAGTCAAACTTGGGTCATTCCATCTCTTGAATTCCGCATCTAACTCTGCATATCGCTCTCTTGCTGGCCGGAAATCCTCAGGGCATGTTACCCTGTAGAGGGGCTTGCCTTCGGAGAGCCGCTCGACGGGAAATCCATAAGAACTTTGGAGGTTCTTGAGAGTTGGACACTTGTTGTCAAGAGCGAGATGATAGTTGAGTTTCCCTTCATAGGGGAGATTCGTAATCGAATCGCGGAGGTTCAAAAATTCACCTACGGCAAATTTCTTGGAGAGGAAAGATTGACTGGGCATTCTTGTTGCTGTTGTTGTTGTCGGAAAGGCTGGAGGACTGGAAAACTTGTGAAATTGTCGGCTAAGCTCAAACAATCCACCGTAAAAGATGCCTAAGACAACTGATACTCTTGCGATTAAATGTAATAACAATAAAACTGAATATAAAGAAAGAAATAACTCTATCTTTCTGTCAGTATACTTGCACACAAGTTCGATATGTGTAGATCGGACTTAGGTTGCTGGTGCAATACTGAGATGACGGTCGCCCTACCGTCGTTCATGGAGTCACTATTGAGTCCATTGGTTCGACCGCTTTCTTCCGTCTACGTTAGAGTATTTTTTTCGTTTTTCGATGCAAGGAACATCCAAGATGACGTGCACAAATAAAACACGATATACACGACCGAGAGAGTTCGAAACAAAAGAAATCTTTTTGCAGTCATACGGTAGTCTAATCGCCTCTTTGTCGATAGCATAGGACGTTTGGCAATGAAAGAAGCAGGCAACAATGATTTCCAACCTTCGGATGAGCAAGCCATTGACGAAAAGGGTCGTCCATCCTCATCATCGTCATCGTCGTCTTCATCGTCGTCGTGTTCCACCATTCTGTTTGAATCCATGATTAGCAACAAGGCAGTCCATCGGTTGTTTTTGCTAGCGCTGCCCATTCTATGGAGTATATTGATTGGTATTGGTTGGAATCAAGAGGATATCATTGAAACTGACGTGAATGCCATTTGGACTCGTCAACGAGGCTCGTACAAACAAGATTTGGACTATGCCGAACAATTCAACGAGGGTGCACTAGGAGACTTGACGAGTTTTGCGGCCATGGCCGTGGCACGAGATGGAGGCAACTTGTTTACACCGAAACGACTGGAAACTATTCGACAACGCATGGAACTAGCGGAACGAACAACGGTATGTAAGCGTCGCGACTTGTTTGGATTTGATATCATCCTCAGCCATCTCATCATATATACACACAATTTTCCTATTTCAACTTTAGGTCAAATACAAGGGAAACACATTCTCATGGAACGATTTGTGTGCCTACAATGACATTGGGATCAATACCACCTACCAATTTCCCTGTGCCCGCTTTTCCCCCATGGACTTTTTTCGAGAAGCACAGTGGTTCTTTGACGAAACGGACAAGGTCACCTGGTACAAGGAGGTGGCCCGCAAGGTAGTCGTGGCACCCCGGGTGCCGCGGTATGGAATCATGACTGGGTCGTGTAGTACCTTGCTGGGTGGTGGTGTTGGTAGCGATAGTGTGCCACGAACGGAATGCAATGGCATTATTAGTCAACGATTGTTGGCGGGAGAACCCTTACGGCTCTTTTCGGATATTGGTAATCTAGAGATGAATGATCCTTGCAAGGCTTGCATTGAATCCGAGATTGAGAATGTGACCAAAGACTTGTTGGACAAGGCAAGCGCCATGTTTGGGGAGTTGGCAGTCGAGTTGGGCAAGTCGTCCAACCAAACTACTACTACTACTACTACCACCACCACCACGGAACTTGCCTCCAAAATGGAGTCCATTGTCGAAAAATTGAGCTTGCAACAAGTCATGGATTACTTTAGTTACAAGACCGTTCGTTTCCTCTATGGCAATTTGGGAGCCCAACAGTATTTGGAAAGTTACCAAGAGTTTCAAGGAATTTGCCGCGGATTGGCACCCGAATTTGCACAAGACAACTGCGGGGACATATCCCTCACAGAAGCTGGCTTGGCATTACAGCAACATGCCGATCATGCCTTCTCCAGTAGTGTCACAGCCGGAACACCGCTCCCATTTTGGGGAGATAATGGAGAAGGCTTTTTGTTGGAGGGCAATTCGCCTGTGGGTGGATCCGGTATCGATATGAGCGGGACCGAGTTTTCGGCCATGGAGTATCTTCAATCATTATCCAACAACGCCACAGTGGACATGGATAGTGTCGAATGGCAATCCATGGTAGAATCTGACCCTGTCTATCGTTGGTTCCTTGCCGGCGAAACTCCCATGACAGCATCCTGTTCGAATGGTCGTTTGAAAGGTACCAATGGTACCGCGTTGGATGGCTTGACGGAACAGTTGATCCAAGTGGCGACATCACCATGGTGTACCAAGTTTAACGAACCATTCGAAGAAGAAGGGACCTACACGGAACAGTACTTTGCCAGAATGTGGTTCGATTTGCTTGCCGATTCTCCTTCCTTTTTGAACTTGACCCAAGGTACATCCGATCCATACACGTGGACATTGGGGCAAGGGTGTGGGTACAGTCTGGCTGGACAACGATTCTCCTACTCTGTTGGAGACGAAGAAAACGCAACGTTCCAAGAGTATCTCATGGGCAACGCGTCCGGCGAACTTTACTACATTGATGAGGGAGAAATTGTGGGACCTATTGAACGGACCCTGCTCATTGGAGGTGTAGAACCCGCAAACTTTTCCCCGCAAAACCCATTGACCAAGGTATCTGTAATCCAATCATTGTATCCAGCATTGCGCCTCAAGGGTATCGTGGATCGTGTCAGCAACTGCAATCGGCCAGGAGGACCAATTGATATTTCAGAAGCAGATGCGAAAGAGGTTTTGTTTCGGTTCAAGAAGAAGTTTGAGAACCGCTGGTCCAAAGATTGGGATACGGTAGACCCGGATAATGAAGTGCAATTTGTTGGCTTCTTTGACGGTAAGTGGGAGGACAATGCTTTTTCGTCGGCTGGGTAAAATGTTCAAATGTTCAAATGCTAATCCTTACCTCCAACTTTAGACGCTGGGGCTAGTGGAACAACTGCGAGACTTTTGGAGGAGATTACACTTAGCAATGGGATACTACTTGCGGCATCAGTTTTGATAATTGCCTTCTTTTCCATTGTATTTCTGTTTGACTGCGATCCCATTGAATCCCGAGTCATGGTCACTCTGTTTGGAGTTTTGTTGGTCCTAATTTCATTCTTTGCCGCTGTTGGATTTGGGATTATCCTTGGTATTAAGGTCAACATTAACATTGCTTGGACTCTTCCATTCATCATGCTGTGAGTATCACGTTTGTGTGTCCAAAAATGATTGTACTATACATACATTTCAAGACTCACATCGTTCAATGTGACACACACAAATAGAGGGCTTGGTGTCGACGATATGTACATTGTCTTGCTATCGCTACGAGAACAAAAGGGATACGGCCGCGACTCATTCCTTGCCGCAATGAAAGAAGTTTTGGTTCCAGTCACCATGACAAGTTTGGTGAACGCCGGAATGTTTGCCATCATGAATGTTAATGACATTCCCGCGGTGTACTTGACAGCCCAAGTTGCATTGATCTCTGTGGTTTTCTTATACCTCACGATTATCCTATGTTTTCCGGCTTGGTGTTGGATCGACATGCAACGGCAGAAATCGGGTCGTCACGATGTAACATTCTGCAAGCGAACAACGGTAGAATCTAGCGAGGAGAATGTCAAGCGCAAACATTGGGCTGACGTTCTGTACGAGAAGATCTACCAACCAATAACTCTAAGTTCATCATCGAAGCTGGGTCACGTTGTCATATGGGCAATTGCCATCGCATTGATTGCGGTCGGATCTTTTGGTCTGACAGAACGAAGTGTTGGTCTCGGGCTGGAAGACTTCATTCCTGAAGGCAATCAAGCCAATCAGTGGGCAACAGTTAGCAGCACCGAGCTTGCAGCTTGGCCGATTCAGATGAGTTGGGGTGCAATTGACTATACCAATCCCGAAACGCAGATGCGGATGCTCCAACAGTTTGAAAACGTCGTTGCCACAGCTCATGTAGCCGAGATCGATACAAAGATGGTTTGGATGGCGAACTTGCTCGTGTGGTCATCGCGCCACTGCACATCAAACTTTGGTCGAGACGACTTAGATATCCTTGAATGCGGTCATGACCAAGTGTTCGAAGATGGCTCCACTTGTTCGGGCTCATGGGTACAAAACACATACAATTTACGCGAGAAGATCTTTGCCGATGGCAATGCTGATGTCTGTTCAGCCTATGAGGGCGGTATCTGTCGACCCACTAGTCAAATGCACCCTAGCGATCTTGCTGAGCTTGGAATCAATGCAAATGCTGCTGGTTCATGGTGTCCAGTCATTGACAATTGGTCCAATGATAAGTTGAGCTTTTGCTTACGACAATGGAGAAGGTTTGCTGGAGGCGGCGGCGGCCTTGTGCTACTAAACGAAACTGGAACATCCGCCGGCTGTACTGGTGAATACTACTCCGATGAGACTGCCCAAGTCCCTATCCCTATTTCTTCGTCCCCGACCATGTACGCCTACGATCTGTTGACCCACGAGACCACAATTGAAATGCTACAGGAAACACGAGCTCTTTGTGACGATGACGAGGAAGTGCGTTGCTTCTTATCAGGTGAGTTTTTGTTGCATTGGCCTCCTGCCGAAAAGTGTAGTAGGTGTTCTTACAGCAATCTTTCTATTTTCACCAGGGGCTCCATATGACTACTGGAGTCAATACGTTGGAATTTTTGGAACATTCGTGGAGATTGCGGCATACGCAGTTGCAGTTGGATTTGTCATTTCGTTTCTCTTTCTGATTGTCACCTTTTCTGCCGAACAGCACCTCGACACTCGCCAAACATTGGTGGGCGCCTTTGTTGGTTCTTGGCTCATCAGCGTCACCACAATCATTTCTCTGGTTTCAGTGGCTGGCCTTTCTATTTTGGCAGGCGTGAAACTGACTGGGTTCAGCAATATGAGTATCGTTCTCAGTGTCGGATTCTCGGTAGAATACTCGGTTCACGTCGTTGCCAGATGGTTGCGCGCTGAACCAGCGCTCTTGGGCCTGGAACGAGTTCGACATACAATGTCCTTCCTGTTCCTTCCTACATTCATGTCTTTCCTTTCTTCGTTGATTGGTGTTGCGTGCCTGGCATTTACGGAGTTTGATTTCAATGAAATCTTTTTCTTCCGGCCACTGATTCTTGTCATGGCGGTAACCTACTTTTTTGGCTGCTGGTGGCTTCCTGTATTGGTAAGTTTTCTCTCTCTTTCCTGCTCGTTTGATCTCAAGCTACTGGCTCTTATTTGTTTGAACACCGTCCACAGTTATGCTATATCAATGGCGATTCCCTAAAGATGGGAAAGCAGATTGATGATGCTTAATCATTATATACTAGGTATAAAGATCTTTTACATTTTTGTCATTTCATGGGAAGCAGAAGCGCAAGAGTACGTATTTACTATCTTTGTTTCTCAAAGCACCAGTCCAGTCGTCAGGAAATCAAAAACAACTTGTAGACCATATTAATAATCCTTCAAAACACATTCACTATGTAGTTTTCTCTGCCTTCGCAGCCTTCTTGGCAGCTCGCTTTTCAGCGGCAAGCTTCTTTTTTTCCTCCTTTGTCAACTTGCGCTCGAATAACCCATCCTCGACGGGTCCTGCCGGAACTTCATCTTCTTCTTGCTGTTTCGGTCGAGGCTTGGATGCTGGGGGTTCGGTTCCCACAGGAAACGATTCGTCCAGTTGCACCGCCACTCCAGCAGCCCCTCCGGACCATCCAAGCATTCGGGTATCGCAAATCATTCCCCAAGATGGATGACCTCCGACGGTGGACTTGGTCAATTGGATTTCTTCGCCCTCTTCACTTACGACTGTGGATCCAGCAGGAGCCACTACCACACGTGATCCATCTCGAACGTTCGGAGCCGTGGTGACAACCGGAATTCCACCATCGTCCTCAGATCCGATGTCAACTTTTAGGACCTTCATGGGTTTGCCACCCTTCTTTGGAATATCCTCACAGGATAGTACAATACCTACTTTGTATTCCGATATATCAGCCATTGTATGTGAGGAGTGGGAAAAAGTGATGGCAAATGACCACAACGGAGCATCATGTGTTGTAATAATCCAAACTCTCCACATGAAATCTCGACCACAAACGTGCTTGGTCGTGTTGGTCAATTAGACTACTTCGACCATTTCGTATGCTACTACCCATGTACGGGTAGGCAAACACAGTCTGAATAACGTACAGTATCTGAGGATCCCGTCATTCAGCAATACAAGGCTTATTGTTGCTCATAGAACGTATTGAATGGGAAGACAACCAGCAAGTCTACCACATGCGCTATCGGTAATTGTACTATATTTCAAGAAGGATCATGAAGAAAAAAGAAGCCGCCCGATATATCATCTCCTCGAAGAACCAAAAATCGGTTATTGGCTGATGGTAGGGATAGTGATACGGAAATCAATGCAAGTCTTGGGAGAGGCTACAGTGTGTGCGGTGAATTAATGATCCATGTGACCGAGTAGGTGCCAATGTCCGATGTTGTATATTATACATCGAGATCATGCTTCTTTTCAATGAGCATTCCAAGAAACCCAAAGCAGTGACCTTTTCACTTTTATATATATCCAGAAAAAGAACAGCGTGCTGCAGAATGTGACAGTCGTGCAGAAGGATTGTGGAATGAAAGGACACCTTACTGACCCCTTCCCCGGTCGAATAACATTCAAGATGTCACCGTCATGATGACTGACATTAATACCGGTATATATAAGGGATGTTTTGTTGCATACAGGAGATAGGTCTTGTGCGGCACAATATTACTTACCAGTACATAGTACCAGTACTGGTACCTGGTACAGTTTCTTGCACCGGGCGCTGTGTACCGTTACGTACCTGGTGACTGTACTGTACCCACCGGAAAACGGTCGAACCCGGATAATCTTTTTTTTACAACTCGATGATACGACCATGGCACCGGTATTCGACAAATTTGTTTCCGCGGAAATATAAAAATAATAAAGTACAGTACCTGCCAGCTTCTGCGCGGCGTAGGAAAGGACTCCATGACCATCATCCTTCGGACAATTTTGGTTGACACACTTTGATGTCAATGATGGGGCGAATCCTCCACGCACGGGCGTTGCAACCAACAAATGTTCCAATCTTTTGTGGGAAAAAGAAACACCCTCACGCAATGCCACCATGGCGATGGCAATGAACTTCGCTAAACCCTAAGTGGGAGCAGAATAGAAAACATTTTAGTTAACATAAAAAAATATATTAGGACTACAGCATGGATAATACCACCTCAGAAAGCCAGCTGCCGGCGTAACTTTTGTGACGAATGAGAAGCATCACTTTAAAAAAAGAGCTGCTGACGGGCAGCAAAATCTTGTACACACGCACCTCACGCAGTTTTTATGTGCGAGCCTTAAACCGTTTCTGAGGCCAGCGAGTTCCTTTAAGTAACTCTTGTTGTCCTTTAAGTAAATCTGCGTCGAAGATACGAATATCGTTAAATGGGAAAAGCGGCGGACTAGATCATCCCTACACGTCATGGTCGGAAGAACTATGGAAAATGCTTCTGCTCAAACGATGCTCTTGAGCAAAAACTCTCGGCGCTCGGGACCTAATTCCTTTTCCACCTTCCAACACCTCATTACGCACTTGACTGCTGACTATAAAATACCATCATCATCAGCATCATCATCAGCATCATCATCACCATGAAGCCAGGAGTAGTAGTCAAAGAGAATAGCTTCCTCCGAGCGTTTCGTCTACACAGATCAGGTATAAGGTTCCTAGGGGCAGGCTTATACTGCGATGCAATTCACACGTTAATGCATGGACTTGAGCTCCTTCACTTCTCAGCGGACGACGAGGATAAGAACTCGTTCGACAATGTTTCCGTGAAATTCGCCAGGTGGAAACAATTAGAGTCAGCATCAGCGTCTGGGAGAATACAACACCCCTCCGAGATTCAGGTGAACAAGACGCCTATGGATCATACTTGCTACACGAATGAAGAATGGATGACTCCGATGCTGAAACCATGCTGCAACCGATGCCGAGGATCACTGGTGGGTGCAATGCTTTACAATATGGCCCTGGCGTATCATCTTCATGCAATCACCTTTGAACAAGATGGAAATCGATTATACTCGTACCTGAATCAGGCATCCTCGCTGTATAGCGCTGCGGAGGGAATTCTGCAAAAGTACAATGTTTCGATACGATCCAGTTTGGAGACCAACGAACGACATATACACTATTTGATTTGTTCACGACCTGTACCGGAATCTGCCCTATTTAGTCTTCACTCATCATCATCATCCCTCAATGTGGAAGCTAATTTTGGATCCATACTGCAACAACGTCAGCCAAACGAAACAGGCCTGAATGCAACGATATGTTCCTTGGCGCAATCCAATGGTATGGCAGCTGATTTCGGACATTGACAATTGGGTATTAATAGTACCTACTAGTGCCTAATGATAGATGCTTAAATTTTTGATTGCTACACTTCCTTTTGTATCTTTAAAAAAACCATGCATGCCGATGAATTATATTCAGAACGAGACTGTAGCGCTTGTCACCAGACTGAGCGAATCATTTACGACTCATTCACTCACTCACTCACTCGCTACATCATTTTTGCTGATAGCATTGTGGTGCAGAGCAACCTTCTGTTGAGAACAATTCTTTGGCCTGACTCGAATTCCACTACCATCCTGAACCAGCTCTACCACATCGCCTGCTTGCTCTTCCAGAAAGGTTTTCATTGAAATTTTTTTCTTCTGGTTATTGGTACTATATTTCGATGACCTTCCTCTATGGCTACGTGCAGCAGCTACTGGTTCTGGGAAGGGATCCTTAGGCCAAACCTGTTTCCATTTGCGCTTGACGTTGCTCAAATCGAGTCCCTTGTCACCATATTCCAAAAGGACGGCGATGAGGCGAGCCTTGAAACAGTTTTCCTCACTGTTGGAGATGACAAAATCGTTGGTGGTTCCAGCCTCCTCACTATCATCATTATCATCATTATCCTTATTGTCCTTATTGGTATCAGTGTCGTCAAGTCCACTAACTTGGAGCATGAGATTTAAGGAATGGGCTGGATTGGATTGGGTTCCATGACCTTGATGTTCCGACAAGTGCAGGTATGCCTTGCGGACAGCATCAAAGCGATCTGTCACATCATCTTCATTCTGATCATCGTCTACAAGAACAGTGCCGTTTCTATCCGGATGAAGTTCATGGGCCTTTTTCAAATACGCTTGTCGGATCTTCGATGGAGATGAGCACGACGCATCAATCCCCAGAATGGAGCAGCTCTCGGCCCTCGCACGGCTGCATTCTTCTCGCAAGTACTTGGCGATTCTGGTGTGTCGGGTGGTATTGGCCATGTCCGCAAGATCCGCTGCATAGTTTCCGGCATCGTCGACCGAGTCGTCCCACAATCCATGTTCCTCCTTCAAATATCGCAACAGGGAAATGTGTCCACCCCAGGAAGCCTTGTGCAGCGCCGTGTGTCCCTGTTTTTGTTTGGCGGTATAATCCAGACCCGGTTGTTTGGCAAGCCACTTGGCTAGCGGCAGTAAGTCACTTCCGTCATCTTTATCAGTACATTTTTCGCCATTTGATGATACTGTAGTGTTATTGTTGGCTCGATTGACGGGACAAATACCCAACCAATGAATCGCCCCGCAATCAAAGTCATTGACTTGACAAGGATCTACGCCACATTCCTCCACCAAGTACTGACAAATACCCAGTTGATTTTGCCAGACAGCCAGTTGAAACGGCGAGACACCATGTTTGGCCAAAGCATGGACATTTGCCTGACAGTCGTCCATGAGGAATCGAGTGGCTTCTGCTGCGCCGTTGCGGCAAGCATAATGAAGAGGAGTTCTTCCTTTCGATTTTTTCACGGCCAGAATGTTGGGCGACAATTTGCGCTCGAGAATCAAATACTGGAGGGCTGTTACCTGATTGGTCCCCGCAGCCCAATGCAGCGCCGTGCAACCAGAGTTGCAAACACTGCTCCTTAGCTCATCATCTGAAGCAGATTTCAGAACTTCAATATCTCCCTCTGTTGCAGCTTTCAGTAGCCGGCAAACATGATCTGATTTGGCTCGGATCTCCATTCATTCATTCATTCATTCTCTACTATATTTAATAATGAGACTGCGGTGATGAAGAAGATGTACCGGCGGGATTGACAAGGATAGGGTTTGGAGAAGAAAAATGAGCGTCCTCCCGTCGCTCGCTCAAAAAGCTTGGAAAGTACCTAAGGTGTGAGCGAGCTTACACTTGCTAGGAGAGGAATATCAATACAGTAACTGAAATAGATCTGGGATTTGGTGTAAGAATATGTACATCATAATTGTACTAATCTTCTGTAAATTGTAATGCGTATGCATCCAAGTTGGACGAACAAGAAACTATATCAACATCTTACTCATATACGGACCGTCCAGCTCATATCCAATCTTTCGGTAGTAATGTCTTGTTCCGACACCCGAGATCACCAATATCTTCTCTGACCCATGTTCTTCTCGTGCAATCCGTTCCGCTTCTTCCATCAACATCATACCGAAACCTTGATGTTGAAACCTCGTGGGATCTCGAGCTGCCACGGCGACCGCTGATCCATAGACATGCAACTCACGGATAATCGAGCACGGGACATCGGTGATTTCCTTCATAAAGGCCGACGACATGTTTGGCTTGCGCAATCGCAACAATCCAATCAGAATGTCTTGACAAGGATCTTCGTATGTCAAGAAGGTTTCCCATCCACCATTGGCAGTGTAGTCTCGTCGAATCAATTCAACTTGATCGGGAGTCACTGCCGAGTGAATTTGCTTCATGCCAACTTCTCTCGTGCGGATATCCAAACAAGGAAGATCCCAATCCTTTAACTTTTGCAGTGCCAATTCTCTCAAATTTCCATGTTCCACACCACTACTCACCAACGGCATGGGAATATCTCGCTGGATTCGATACAGGCGTGTCCATGGTGGCACCAGACTCAATATTTTGGCAGTCAGTTCCACCAATTGGTCCGGCGTGTAGTTTTGATATCTTCCCGTTTTCCACAATTCGTACAGCCCAGTGCCTCGGATGACTAGAGTAGGATACAACTTCATTCCATCCGACCGAAAGAGCGGATTCTCAAAGTATTCCATAAAGCCTTCCAAATCACGTTCGTATCCCATGTTAGGCAGATCGGGCATCATGTGCGTCACCACCTTGAATCCACAATCCTTGGCCAGTTGGAAGGAGTGGCAGACAGCTGCCACCGTGTGTCCTCGATTGGTTTCCCTCGCGATTGATTCGTAGATACTTTGGACTCCAATTTCAATCCGCGTACACCCATAACTCAACATTTCTTCCAAATGCGGTTTGAGACAGTAATCTGGACGCGTTTCAATGGTAATACCAATGCACTTGGTCTTGGCATGTTCGGAATACCGAATGGATTCTCGGACGCTGTTGGAGTGATATCCGCTAAGAGCATCGTGCAGATTTCGGACGAACCAATCCTTGTATTCCTTATCGAGTGACAGAAAGGTACCTCCCATGACAATAAACTCCACCTTATCGACAGTGTGTCCAATAGCCTTGAGTTGTGCCACACGGCCCTTGACTTGCGAAAATGGATCGTACCGAGCTCGAATGGCCCGCATCGAGGTTGGTTCGTACCCCGTATAGGCCTGGGTGGAGTATTCAAAATCCGAATCCGGACCACCGGGACAGTAGACGCAAACATTACCAGTGTAGGCAATGTGTGGGCATCGATGAGGCTTTGACATGACAGCGACGACGGCGACACCACTGGCGGTTCGCACTGGTTTGGTTTGCAAAAACGGCCACAGTTTGGCACGGTACGTAATCGGCAAGGCTTGTAGAATGTCCGCCATCTTGGGAATTCCAGTGAGTTTGTACTTTTTGGCGGCTGTTCCCTTCAACTTTGTAAAGTTGAGTGTATCTCCTGCCTCATAAGCTTTGATCAAGTCGGTTACAATGGACGATATTGCTAGCGCATATTGACCTCCTTTGCTGTTTTCCACCATGTTCGGATGATGATGTGTTTCTTTATTCTCTATGCAATTATTGCCTTGTTATATATAGATGCCAAGTAATAGCGCCCTTTCAAAGAAGGTAAGTTCCTTGGATGAGTAAGATCAGTGAAAGACACAGGTGAAACGCAACTTGTTTCGTAGCTTATGCTGTGATTCCTCAATCCTGCAGCTCTTCGTTGTTTTTTATAATAAAATATGATTGATCGTCAGAATTCGTCTGTCCATATGCATGCTGTACACGATACGATACCCCAATAATTATGGCATCCCCAAACGAATGAATCCCCCATATATCGTATCCGTAGATTGATTCGATTTTCATATCACTTTTATACGGTATATAAGTTTCTTCATTGTATTATTGTAGGTTTCACCATGGACATGAATGATACCGCAGATTTCAAAATGTCACCATATTTCCATCTGGAAGCTGGTTGCGAGGATGATTACATGTCCAAAAAGTCTGGTGGCCAATTTAGCAATGCTTCATCATTAGCTAACACCCATGGTACCCCCTACTTTGCGGAAGATATGAATGTGCATAGCAATAACAACAATCAAGATGCCGCGCTCCTGACGGGTCATTTTCAAAAAACCGACTTGAAGAAACCAACTGATATCTCGCTCATACTGGGAGATCAACATTCGTTGGGTTATTCCACTTTGAACTCGGTACACTCGAATTTTCATCATCATCATCATCATCAAAATCAGGTTGCGGGTTCAGCAACCATGGTCCCAATGGACACTGGGACGACATCGCCAAAAGACGAATTGAAGCAACGGATACTAGACAAGGTACAACGAGACTACTATGTGACATGGGCAGTTGAAGACAAGTACACGAGTGCCTACATTAGCCCATTTACTCGTGAGATTTTTCTTTCAGGAGACCTCATCGATTATCAAGGTTCCATCAGTCAGGATAACCTGGTCTGGTACCAAAGCAAGGAAGTCGCACAAGATGCGGCCGTTGCTAGAGCATTAGACTGTTTTGACCTGCGAGAACGATCCCGACGATCGTATGGATTGAGAGTGAAGGAAGCTCCATATGAAATGGACTGTGGTCCACCCTTGCCTGCCTTGGTGCCTGCACAAGCCCTACGCTTCGGACTGGTTCACAACAAGCCCTACAATGTAAATGCATTGTCACCTGGCTCTTCGACGGATCTATCGTCCAAGAGTTCCGACAATCATCATCATAATCATCAAGATACCAAACGAACAATAATAGCAGCAAACTCCAAAATGAACAAGAATCCCATTTCGACTCTGGCGGAATGTTATCAGAACGGTGACTTTTTTGGACAACAACATAGAGGCACAACTCTCACCAAGGCAAACTTTGTGACATGGTCCGATGGGCTAGACCACGTCCCCAGATTTACAGGTGCCTTTGTCTGTCCCATTTACGGTGAGATTTTTCTTTCTGGCAATTGGACCCATCACGAAGACGACTGCCACGAAACCAATGACGGACTGGTGTGGTACTCGTCCAAGAAGAAAGCCGAGGGAGCAGCTGCTGCTGTGGCACACGATTGCTATTCCCTTCGCTACCAACTGTCAACGGACACGGCGATTGACGAAGTGCGATTCTGCATTGAAGATCCATATGAAAAAAGTCCAAGATCGGAGACTGACATTGCTCGATTGGTTCCTCCCGAGTATTGGATTGACATTCAAAAGCTACAAGAGTCGTCTCGTTCTGGATATACGGTAGTTCTGTAGCAGAGAGACGCGAAGACTGACTGTAGAGTGTTAAGGAATCATCTTAATCCGACTGTAAATCATATGTTAAAGCCAACTGGCGCCTTTACGCTGTCATTAGAAGGCCGAACAATAGTCAAGATGCTACCTTGTATTACAGCATTGCTTCATTTAAAATCTAATTACATAATAACTTTACTCTATCATTCTAGTAGTAGGCGCCGACCATTTCGAAATCTTGAGTAGCCAAGATATCGTAGACGCAACCCTTGCGGCTGAACTCATCTTCAAGTCCAGCACAAGCGGTTTCAGCTTGTTCTTTCGAGATGGCACTCTCATCCAATCGACGCTTGCGTTGGCCACGAGGGTCCTCGGGAAGGTAGCAGAGTTCAGGGAACTGAGGGCGAGCCATCTCATGGAACAACTTGCCATCAGATGGCAAGACTTGCCACTCAAGACCAAGATCGTTAAAATCGTGTAAGACTGTGCTTCCATCACGGGCATAGGTATGTCCAGTCTTGAAGTCACCAATGATTCCAATGGCATTTCCAAACGACTCTGCAGTGGCACCAATAATCTTGACGCCGACAAATTCCTTGAAGGTCTTGATCTCGATCTTTTGGCCAGGGTAATCTTTGTCAAGATCGATGGTATACTTGTTGTTACGAGGGTTGATGGTGACTGGGTAGTCACCAAGATGGGTGAGGTGTCCAAGGTATTCAAAATTGATGCGGTAGTGACGCTTGTCGATACCATCTTCCTTTTCAACCGATCCCTCAACCTCGAGGATATCATTACCAATGCGAATAGCAGCAGTCTTGATGTAGCTCCAGTATCGGATCATGCTAGTACGAAGTTGTATCTCAAGGTTGTTGTTCTCCTTGTTGGCAAAGTTCTCGACCTTTGTCATGACCACGTCACACTGCCCGTGGAACTCAAAGTGCTCGTTCTTCCATGTCTTGACTGTATAGAGCGATAGAGATGGTCAGATTGAGAAAGCGGTGAATAAAAACCTTGATTGTCCCAATCTTCATTACTTACAGTGGGGATCGCCATTTGCTTCGGTTGTCGGTCCATTGTCTTTCGCAACTGGAGGGGGTGTCGGACCCGATGTGGGGCCAGAAGTCGGCTCAGAGGTAGGAACAGGTGTAGGCCCAAAGGTGGGTCCGGATGTTGGACCAGAGGAAGGAGCGGACGTGGGACCACTTGTTGGTCCTGAAGTAGGCCCAGAGGTAGGAGCAGGTGTGAGCCTAGAGGTAGGTCCAGATGTTGGACCAGAGGTAGGAGCAGAGGTGGGTCCACTTGTTGGTCCTGACGTAGGCCCAGAGGTTGGACCAGAGGTAGGCCCAGAGGTGGGTCCACTTGTAGGGAAACTCGTAGGAGCAGGTGTGGGCCCACTTGTTGGTCCTGACGATGGCACACGCGTTGAACGATGAGTAGGTGCTGATGTCGGCCCGCTTGTTGGACCAGAGGTAGGCACAACTGTGGGTCCACTAGTGGGTCCTGATGTCGGCCCGCTTGTTGGACCAGAGGTAGGCACAACTGTGGGTCCACTAGTGGGTCCTGATGTCGGCCCGCTTGTTGGACCAGAGGTAGGCACAACTGTGGGTCCATTAGTGGGTCCTGATGTCGGCCCGCTTGTTGGACCAGAGGTAGGCACAACTGTGGGTCCGCTAGTGGGTCCTGATGTCGGCCCGCTTGTTGGACCAGAGGTAGGCACAACTGTGGGTCCATTAGTAGGTCCCGAGGTTGGGCCAGACGTTGGACCCGGAGCACAAGCAAATTGTGGAGATGGGCGATCGTTGATTCCTCCTTTCCATACTTCAACAACCGCACTTCCAGTGGCAGCATCCGTGTCGATAGATGTCACCATAACTGTTACCGATTGTCCACTGTAGGCCCAGTTAGCAAACGTTATGAAAGAGCCGCCGGATATTTTCGCTTCCATATAAGATGCGGTGCTTTCGATGCTCATGGAAGTTACCGTGACCATATTTCGATGCTCAGTTGTGCCTCCGTTCGCCCCCACTGCATGATTGAAGATAACGTAATTGTTCCAATAGCCTTCGGTCAATTTCAAGACAACATTCTCGCAACCGTTTACCACATTGGGAACTCTGTCTACCCCCACCAAAGTTCCAGCAAAGTTTGTGGTCAAGGGATCTATTTCAACATTGTAGGGTGTGTACCAGCCTAGCTGCCAAGAGTGTGCACCGTTGAAACACATTCTGTTTCCGAAGGGGGCATCATCAGGCGCCCCAATTGTAAAGCCCATGACTCCAGTTTGGTCCGCATATTCTACACCTCCTTCCCATGAATGGCTGAACGACGAAACAAACGGAAATGTGAGAATCAATTTGACGAATTTGAGGAGGGCAACAAGTAATGAAACAACTTACGCCAGGCCAAAATTGTGTCCGAGTTCGTGTACTTGAGTGACTTCATTGGCACACCATTTGTCGCCATTGTACACACTAAGATACCCTCCGGAATATGCATATGCAAGCCAATCTGTATCGCCCGGATAACCATACCAGTGGGATCCAAAGGGCAAGCAAAGCATGACGTTGTCAAAATTCTCGGTCAGTCTGTCACCAAAGAGATCCTGCAGTGCTTCCAAGGCAGCATCTTCGACGTCAAAGTTAGTGCTTCCAGCGGCATTGATACTCAGTTCTAAATCAATGACTCCATCCACTACGTTGTTGTCATAGTTAACAGTAGTTCCACCACCGCAAACACAACATTCAGTTCTTGCTGTTTTCGTAACTGGGAAGAGGGAGAGAGAAGTTTCACGTACACGATGTTAGAATCATCGTCGCGAGACAGATGCAAAATATCTCGACACGCCTTGATTTCCTTACAATCGACAGTTGGTGATACTTGTCTAGCCTGGTCGGCAAATTCATTGCAAAAATTTCTATTTTCCCGTCCAAGCCACAAGCTGTCGTCGAAAAGGTCGCAGTTGATAGGGACATTAGTTGAGAAATTTGGAATTTGGAAGATGGCATCCATATTGCCTACACAAGCCGAGCCAACTCCACTGGCAGGATTGATTCTTGCCACATTGTTGGAACATTCTTCCACTATGCTTTTCAAGTTGAGGGTATCGCCGCTTCCATTTGTTCCAAAGACATCGCCACTAATTTCTGCCTTTTGCTTTGTCAAGGCAGAATCCTTAGTGCTCACTCGTACCACTAGAACTTCCAAATCACCACTAGTTGCTGAGAGCCTTCGCTGTCTACGGTTAGCTGTTGGATCCACTTCGCCAAACGAAAGGGTGTTGCCAGCACCAATGGTCAGTTTGTGGTTGGAAAGACCGGCCCCTTGGGCAAACAGAGTGGTTTTTCCACTTCGAATGTTTGGATTGGCAGCTAGAACATGCTCCATTCCCTCAACCAAGGCTCTGGCGACAGTTTTGCTACTTCCGGCATTTTTGGCGTCTTGGCCAAAAACTTCACAGATCCATGCACTTTTTCCTGTTCCATTCGCGAATTCAGCAATCTCGTTGTAGAGAGTGCACGGAAAGTTTTGCTGGGCCAAGTGTACTTCTTGCAGACTCCGTGTAGACTATAATGATATATAATATGCGGTGGCATTTGATATAATAATTTTAAGAATTGGAATTGACAGTGTTTTTTGTTGAGAAACGAATGTTATAGCAAAGGCAGTAAGAACAAGAGATCAGCTACACGTACGATGTTAGCTCGAGGACCTTGCTGTGTTTCAGAGAGCGGAGCTGAAAGCACCGTTTGCAACACCTGAAGGAGCAAGATGAGAGCCTTAAGGATCGTTTTCATAATCTTGTTGTGCAGTTTTAAAAATGTCTGCGCAGGATTCTCACGTGACAAAACCTAAACCGAGAAAATTCAAATTACGACCAAACCCATGTTAAAGGTGTTTTGTCCCTCCAACCCTCCATCTCCACATTTAACGATGATTTCAAATGATAAGAAACTTTATATAACAGTTTTGAGACCTCCTAAATAAATGTATTTTGCGATAAGAGGATGTAAATGAATCCGTGAAAGAAACAATTATGGTGCAAAGTTTGAAAATGTCGCCATCCTACTCTGATCACATAACGCTGTGTTGCACAACAGAAACGAAGGAATAATATTGGTTTCTACAGCAATACTGTCGATAGTTTTTATTTGATGCCCTTTTGAATTTTTATGGTTTTCCACTCTTATATTATTTCAATCATTCAAGCAAGGTAAAAAGCTTTGGATGCATCAATCGAAGGGTTTCGTAGCCTACAACTTCCGATTGGGCGCTGGGGAGGCAACAAGCGAAGGGCTCGTCACAGTAGTGACGACACATGATCTAGCTACCACAGAGACAGCGGCTACCGAAGCAAGCAAAGGCTTTCGTTTTCCATGGGATGTGGCAATTTAGAAACAACGAAGGATCCAATTTATTGGAGATGTTGTCAACAGAAAGCAAGAAAGCCCGTAAAGATCACAAAGAAGACTGCAAAGATTTTTGTGAGAATCGTCTCCAGGCAAACATGACAAAAATCAAGGAAGCACAAGCGAAGAAGAAAGGATTGTTTAGTGATGAATTAATGAATGAATGAATAGTGGTATTTGCAATTACTAGGTTGGATGAATAGTACAGTCAAGCAAGTGATCGATTGACTCCATTCCAATTCCTATGAAATGATGGTTGCATCAAACCTAACCGAAGAAAGACTTTTGCGGGATCCATTTTTCACTGGGTACATGAAAACCTGAGTTGACACACTCGGCCGGGTCTGCTCGACAAACCACACCATGAACGAACATACACCACGCTCCCATTGTTATCCTCCTCTCCTCCTCCTGGACTATATCTATTTAGAGCCCTGTAACATCAGAGCACCAGCAGCCATGTCCAAATCATCTGGTGGCCAATTCAGCAATGTTTCATCCGCTAATACTCCTACTACTCCCTTTGAGGGAATTTTTGATGAAAAGATGACGAATAATGATACCAATCGAGATGACTCGCTCCTGACGGGTCATTTTCAAACGGACTTGACGAATTTGCCTGATATCACCTCGGTCATACTGGGAGATCAACATTCCTTGGGTCATTCCTCGTTGAATACCAATGACTACCACACTGTACCATCGGATCGTCAGCAAATTGTGGCCCCAGGAGTGACCATGGTCCCAATGGACACTGGGACGACATCGCCAAAACACGAGTTGAAGCAGCGTACACTAGAAAAGATACAACGAGACTACTATGTGACATGGGCTCGAGGCGGCAATGACAAAGACAAGTACACGAGTGCCTACATTAGCCCATTTACCAGTGAGATTTTTCTTTCCGGAGAGCTCATCAATCATCAAGTTGGAAGCAAGGATAACCTTGTTTGGTACCAAAACAAGGAAGATGCACAAGATGCGGCTGTTGCTAGAGCATTGGACTGTTTTGAACTACGAGAACGATCCCAACGACCATTTGGATTGAGAGTGAAGGAAGCTCCATATGAAATGGACTGTGGTCCACCCTTGCCTGCCTTGGTACCTGCAGAAGCCCGACGCTTTGGACTGGTTCACAACAAGCCCCACAATGTAAATACAGTGCCACCTGGCTTTTCCGCGGATCTATCGTCCATGAGTTCCGGCCATCATCATCAAGACACTAAACGCACCGCAACAGCAGCAACTCCGAAAATGCGGGACAGGAACACACATCCCATTTCGACTCTGGCGGAATTTTATCGCAAAAGTGACTTTTTTGAACAACAGCACAGAGGCACAACGCTCACCAAGGCAAACTTTGTGACCTGGTCCGATGGGCTAGACCACGTCCGCAGATTCACAGGTGCCCTTGTCTGTCCGATATACGGTGAGATTTTTCTTTCTGGCAATTGGACCCATCACGAAGACGACTGCCACGAAACCAATGACGGACTGGTGTGGTACTCGTCCAAGAAGAAAGCCGAGGGAGCAGCTGCTGCTGTGGCACACGATTGCTATTCCCTTCGCTACCAACTGTCAACGGACACGGCGATTGACGAAGTGCGATTCTGCATTGAAGATCCATATGAAAAAAGTCCAAGATCGGAGACTGACATTGCTCGATTGGTTCCTCCCGAGTATTGGATTGACATTCAAAAGCTACAAGAGTCGTCTCGTTCTGGATATACGGTAGTTCTGTAGCAGAGAGACGCGAAGACTGACTGTAGAGTGTAAAGGAATCATCTTAATCCGACTGTAAATCATGTGTTATAAGATCATTGCATTCCTAGCTCGATAGCTGACTGGCGCCTTCATGCTGTCATTAGAAGGCAGAACAATAGTCAAGATGCTACCTTATATTATAGCATTGCTTCGTCTGTAATCTAATTACAGTACATAATAACTTTACTCTATCATTCTAGTAGGCGCCGACCATATCTATATCTTGAGTAGCCAAGATATCGTAGACGCAACCCTTGCGGCTGAACTCATCTTCAAGTCCAGCACAAGCGGTTTCAGCTTGTTCTTCCGAGACAGTACTCTCGTCCAATCGGCGCTTGCGGGCTCCCTGTGGATTTTCTGGAACCAAGCACTTCTCTGGGAACTGTGGCCGAGATACAGCATGGAAGTAGTGTCCATCAGATGGCAAGACTTGCCACTCGTTTCCAAGTTCGGTAAAGTCGTGCAACACAGTGTTTCCATCGCGAGCATAAGTGTTGCCAGTCTTGAAATCACCAGTGATACCAATAGACTTTCCAAAAGAAGTCTCAGACCCACCAATAATTTTCACTCCAACAAACTCCTTGAAGGTTTTGATTACAATCTTTTCTCCTGGATACAGGCTACCCAAATCAATTGTGTACCGATCAGTGTTGTCATTGAGGGACACAGGGAAGCCAGATAGATCAGACAATTCGCCCATGTGTTCGTAGTTGATCCAATAGCTGGCAGAGAAATCGGGCAATCCTTCGATTTCAAGAATGTCATTGCCAATGCGGATGACAGCCTTTTCGATGTAACTCCAGAAGCGAACCATCTTGGTACGGATATGAATATCTATACCAAGGCCGTTGGCAAAGTCCTTGTCTGAAATCATGACGATATCACACTGCCCATGGAATTCAAAGTGTTCATTCTTCCATGTCTTGACTGGATATGTAGAGAGAAGGTCGAATGTGAGAAAGTGGTGCGTCAGAATCGAATTGTGTCAATCAGCGCTATACTTACAGTGGGGATCACCAGTCACCTCGGTTTCCGGCTCGTCGTCGTTTGCAACAGGGGATGCAATGGGAGACGCAACTGGAGACGAGACAGAGCCAGTTGTGGATCCGGAAGTGGGACCAGAGGTTGGTCCAGAGGTGGGCGCTGAAGTAGGACCAGAGGTAGGAACAGGTGTCGGTCCACTAGTTGGTCCCGATGTTGGGCCTGAACTAGGAGCGGGCGTGGGACCTGATGTGGGACCAGACGTTGGCTCTGGATTCGGAGCTAACGTTGGACCAGAGGTAGGAGCAGACGTGGGTCCACTTGTTGGTCCGGATGTTGGACCAGAGGTAGGAGCAGGCGTGGGTCCAGGCGTGGGTCCAGGCGTGGGTCCACTTGTTGGTCCGGATGTTGGACCAGAGGTAGGAGCAGGTGTAGGCCCACTTGTTGGTCCTGACGTTGGCAGGCTCGTTGGACGATGGGTAGGTGCTGATGTCGGCCCACTTGTTGGACCAGAGGTAGGCACAGCTGTGGGTCCACTAGTGGGTATTGAGGTTGGATCAGACACTGGATCCGGAACACAAGCAAATTGTGGAGATGGGCGATCGTTGATTCCTCCTTTCCATACTTCAACAACCGCACTTCCAGTGGCAGCATCCGTGTTGATATATGTCACCATAACTGTTACCGATTGTCCACTGTAAGCCCAGTTAGCAAATGTTATGAAAGAGCCGCCGGCTATGGTCGCCTCCATATAAGATGCGGTGCTATCGATGCTCATAGAAGTTACCGTGACCAAATTTCGATGCTCAGATGTGCCTTCGTTCGCCCCCACCGCATGATTGAAGATAACGTAATTGTTCCAATAGCCTTCGGTCAGTTGTAAGACCACATTCTCGCAACCGTTTACCACATTGGGGACTCTGTCTACCCCCACCAAAATTCCAGCAAAGTTTGTGGTCAAGGGATCTATTCCAACATTGTAGGGAGTGTACCAGCCTAGCTGCCAAGAGTGTGCACCGTTGAAACACATTCTGTTTCCGAAGGGGGTATCATCAGCCGCGCCCTTTGTATAGCCCATGGCTCCAGTCTCGTCCTCATATTCTTCATCTCCCCATGAATGGCTGAATGAAGAAACAATCGGAAATGTGAGAATCAATTTGACGAATTTGAGGAGTGCAACAAGTAACGAAGTAACGAAACAACTCACTCCAGGCCAAAATTGTGTCCGAGTTCGTGTACTTGAGTGACTTCATTGGCACACCATTTGTCGCCATTGTACACGCTAACATAACCTCCGAAATCAGCATATGCAAGCCAATCTGTATCGCCCGGATAACCATACCAGTGGGATCCAAAGGGCAAGCAAAGCATGACGTTGTCAAAATTCTCGGTCAGTCTGTCACCAAAGAGATCCTGCAGTGCTTCCAAGGCAGCATCTTCGACGTCAAAGTTAGCGCTTCCAACGGCATTGATACTCAGTTGTAAATCAATGACTCCGTCCACTACGTTGTTGTTGTTATAGTTAATAGTAGTTCCACCACCACAAATACAACATTCAGTCTTGGCCGTTTTGGAACCTAGTAATAGAGAGAAGTAATAAGCAAGCGCCAATATCGTCTTGGGAAACAGAAGCCCAATACGCCCGGATATCCTTACCATCGATGGTTGGAAGTCTTTGTCTAGCGTCACCATAGAGAGGGCAGAGATCTCCCTCTGTTGCAACGCGGAATTTTGTGAACCATTCACAGTTGTATACGGTACCTGTATCAGAGCGTGGAACTTCAAAGACGGCATCCGGATTGTTGGCACAACCCGTGCCAATTCCACTGGCAGGATTGATTCTTGCCACATTGTTGGAGCATTCTTCCACAAGGCTTTTCAAGTTGATGGTATCGCCGCTTCCAGGTGTTCCGAAGAAATCTCCACTGATTTCTGCTTTTGACTTTGTTAAGGAAGCATCAGCAGTGCTCACTCGTACCACCAGAACTTCCAAATCGCCACTAGTCGCTGAGAGCCTTCGTTGTCTACGGCTTGTTGTCAACGAAGATGGATCCACTTCTCCAAACGTAAGAGGGATACCAGGATCAATGGTCAGTTTGTGGTCGGAAAGTGCAGCTCCTCGGGCGAGAAGAGTGGTTTTTCCACTTCGAATGTTTGGATTGGCAGCTAGAACATGCTCCATTCCCTCAACCAAGGCTCTGGCGACAGTTTTGCTACTTCCGGCATTTTTGGCGTCTTGGCCAAAAACTTCACAGATCCATGCACTTTTTCCTGTTCCATTCGCGAATTCAGCAATCTCGTTGTAGAGAGTGCACGGAAAGTTTTGCTGGGCTAAGTGCACTTCTTGCAGACTCCGTGTAGACTATGATGATATATAATAAGCGGTGGCATTTGATATAATAATTATAAGAATTGGAATGGACAGTGTTTTTTGTTGAGAAACGAATGTTATAGCAAAGGCAGTAAGGACAAGAGATCAGCTATACGTACGATGTTAGCTCGAGGACCTTGCTGTGTTTCAGAGAGCGGAGCTGAAAGCACCGTTTGCAACACCTGAAGGAGCAAGATGAGAGCCTTAAGGATCATTTTCATGATCATACAATTATACAGTAGAAGTATGTCTTTGGAAAGGGTTCTCACGTGACAAAACCTAAACCGAGAAAATTCAAATTACGACCAAAACTAGTTCTTGCGCATTTAATGATAATTTGAAATGATCAAGATACTTTATCTAACAGTTTCAAGGCTTCATAATTGAAAATATGCTCTCTGATAATTGGATCAAATGAATCCGTGAAAGAAACATTTAAGGTGCCTAGTTTTTCGCACATAACGACCTTATCATAGACGAGGCAGGGACTATATGATCCAAGTGACGACTACCGTACGCTCGGACGACCGTCGATGATTGTAGTATATATGAGGAGTAAACCTTACGATGATCATCAGTTTGAGCCAATTTATTCGACTCATGATCCAAAGGAGGTTTTAAAAAGCTTTGGTTGCATTAATGGAAGGGTTTCGTTGCCTACAATTTCCGATTGGGAGGCAACAAGCGAAGGACTGGTCAAAGTCGTGATGACACATGATCCATAGTACTACCAGCACAGATACAGCGGATGCCCAAGCAGGCAGCAAAGGCTTTCGTTTTCCGTGGGATGCGGCAAAGGGGAAGTTGGAAGAGACGCAACAAGAATATGGGTATCAATCATGTGAATTCTAATGTTGTATCAATCACTTTTTCAAATGTGGAGCAGTAAATTTCAGAGTGCCTTGTGCCAGAACGATCGTCGTTTTGTCTTTCTTCGTCTGTGAAATGTCAACGCGAACCATTAAAATTTGGCGATCGTCTTGCACTATATGATCAATCGTCTGGCACGAAACTTGAAGTTGTGGCTTCCCTCGACCAGCAGCTAGGAATTGAACTTGAAGCGACTCCATTTCTATTGAATTGACACCACCTAGTTTTTCCTGGGCATAGGGCTCGGCGACCTTCTCCATAACCATGGTGATGCAGCCTCCATGCAAACCACCAAAACCGTTTGTATGCTCGTCCGTCATTTGAAATTGGGCTTTGCCCAATTCCGACGATGTCATCGTTAGTCTTTCTTGAACCAGTTCGTGTGCGACTGTTGCCGGAGAACGTGCATCCTGTTCAGTTGTTGTAGTAGAAGAAGCTGTTGGAAGCCAACGGTTGGCAAAGTTGGAGAGTGCTGATGACTGCCACGGAGGATAGGATGACATGAGGGTATCAAGAAAGAAATTCCCTGTCGGTAGAAACTTGACATGCGTCGAATATCCAATCATCTGTTGATCAGGTGTTACAAACTCAGTTCGTGTATGCGCAATTGTCTTGCCTGCTTTTGTGATAGTGTTGATGATATCAACATATTCGATATCCAGGTCCTCCTTATCCAGGCGTCTTGGAAACCAGTGTGTGTGAAAAGAAACACTTACACCGGGTGGTGCCAGAGCTCCTCCTCCTATCAGTTGGGTACTTAGCTCGTCCATGAGGGCTGTTGCCAGTCCAGGAGATAGTACCCTTTGATTTCCAACATATTTGCAGCCTAGAGGATAACGGTATGACAATTTGGTAGCGTCGACCGAGAGGCGATCCATCTGAATGTTTTGATAAGAGAGACCAATCGAATGTTCAAATCCGTGGAAGACATCCGTTGGCTTCGCACGACGTCTGATTCGAGTCAACAGGTTTCCCTGTTTGAGAAAGTTCAAAACTCTCTCTTTCGTCATGTGCTCTGCACTTTATAATACGCAAGCGAAAGTGAGATTATGAGATGCATTATCCAGTATCGCAAGGATTGATGATGGATGAGCAGAAGGACGATTCATAATGTTAATCCCTGCGCGGAGGGACGCGCATGCCTATCTCCGACTGTCTCTATCGAGCATTCCGTAGCACCCATAACTTATGTAGAACATGGTTTTGAGCACTACTTCAATAGTTCTACATAATTATCCCTTGACAAGAATGGTGTAGGTGATTCCCTCCAACGCAGAAGTGTCGACAATCACTCCCCCTGACGGATACCAAACCCCGCCTCAGGACTCCCAAGGAGCCCGATGTTCAGCTCCTCAACGCGAGGACACACCACCACCATCGGCTTGTCATTGTATTTTTTCGGCTTCCCGACTCCCAAAAGTCGTCCACCGAAGCCCCTAATATTTCAGAAGTGCCTGTTCTATTATGGTTTATGGCTCATGTTTCCTCTCCAGGAGGTTGTTCATGAGCAAGTCTAACTGTTTCAATTTTTGCAACGGCAAAGAATCGGTCCAATCTATTCCCGGTTCTGACGCAAACTACCAGAAATTTGACCAACAACGTTGGGCGCCGTCTCACATTCTACACTGTTCATGATGCTTCGCTACTGGTCCTTTATGCTGCCCACGATGAACCTGGCGCACCCCAAACCCAACACCAAAGCGGGTGTCGATCGACGACTTCCAAGGTTGCTCGATTTCCAAGGTTGCTAGGCCGTGAAGTTCCAAGGTTGCCGGCCTTCCAAGGTTGCAGGCCGGCACAACATTCGATTTCCAATCAATTATTTCGAATGAATAAAATTCAAAATGCTCCACAGAGCGTCGGCAAGGTTGTGTTAATCCCTGCGCGGAGGGACGCGCATGCCTATCTCCGACTGTCTCTATCGAGCATTCCGTAGCACCCATAACTTATGTAGAACATGGTTTTGAGCACTACTTCAATACATAATCCTTCCCATGTTCTTCTGTGTTCTTATGGTTGTTGAGTGTGATGGGTGATGATGACGCGCTTTCGCTTATTTATCGTGCGCACTTTTCAAAGGTCAATGCGCGGGCCGGTATTACGCGCGCGTCAGACCGCCATCACATGATTTTGATGGCGCAACGACACATTTTTCTTTTTTGGGAAAATGGAGAGGACAGCAAAAACACGCATTATTATACCTAATACACAGCCATCAACAAAATATACGATCCCATCTGTTGGCGAAAGGAAGACACAGGATGGTTCGACAGCAAATTTGTCGGTTCCTCTTTCTCACGGCTTTCTGCATCTACCCAAACTGTGATGCTTTGGCTCTTCAACGGCATCAACAGTCCGTCGCCCTATACGAGAATAAGCTGTCAACCGATAGTCCAAAAGCTGAAGCAGGGAAGAGCGGCGATGTCCTTTTTGTTGAAGATTTGAGGCCTTCCGCTATCATTGGAAACCAATTCCCCCTCAACACCACTGAAAACTACGCAAAATCAGTTTCCTCTGCCCTGTTGACAACGAGATTGACCAACCATTTTGTCCAGTTTGGAAACGTGAGAAAACTCTCAGTGCTCGGGGTCGAAGACTACCATCAATGCCGGCAAAAAAGAAGGCGACGACCGTATGCATTTGTGACGTTTGAAGAAAAGGAGTCTGCTACTTTGGCGATTCGTGATCATGAGGAATGTAAAGCTACATCTTCACGAGACGGCGGAACGGCAAATCAAGCTTTGTTTCGAAGAATTTCTTATTCCTCGGTCCCAGACACATGGCGTAGAAAGCCTGTGAAGCCACAAGACAAAATTGGTGACTTGTCAGCTTCCATTATTGATGGCTTTCAAAGTGGAACCTTGAAAGCCGATATTGTGTTGCAAGTCAACAAATCACACCTCCATCGAGTTATGGACTATGTCAACAAGGGATTGTCAATGGCCCACGTAGCTACAGTTACAGGATACGTCGAAAAAACCTGCAGCCGAACTACATCTCTCATATTCATCAAGATCGACTCTGAAAAGGCATCAGTATCAAGCTTTGTGGAAGAGTCGTTAGCCCAAGATCCTTTCATTTACAAGGGATTGAACAAGGTTTACGCGATTGATGATTCGTCCATGTGCTTATCCGAACAAGAAGTCTGTCTAGAAGCTTGCGGCCTTCTTCGGGAGCTACAACTTCAAAATGGATCAGCACCCATAAGCGTCAAAGTACAAACCTTTCCACCTCAAATACAGAGTCAAATTGTTGAGACCATGGAACACCATCAACGCCAAGAAGATCCCTCGAATCGATTCGAGATGGCTCCTTCTAAGCACTCCCATCTTTTGTCTGTAGTACGAATCGACAGGATCGAAGGCGAGTCTATGTTTTTGTGGTCTCTGAAACCTACATGGGACGCAAACATTGAGGATATCCAGTCATCCTCCTTGCTTGGTGACACTGACGTAGTGTCCCGTGCTTATTTCAAGCTGAAAGAAGCCATTGAGCGATCGCAATCAACCGTCAAGAAGTTTCAAACTATGCACCATGAACTGAAAGGGAGTGATGAAAAGTCTATGGTTGCAATAGACTGCGGAGCAGCACCTGGAGGATGGACAAAGTACCTGGCATTAGACTTTGGATGTACAACAACATACAGCGTTGATCCAGGGCGGTTGGATCCAACCGTCGAAAAACTCGAAGGCGTTGTTCATGTACCTCTGAAGGCTCTTGAGGCAATCGAAGACTTTTCAAAACAGGGAAATATTTGTGCTGATATATGGGTAAGCGACATGTGTTTGCATGACATGAATGGACAGATCGATATTTTCAAACAAGCTATTGAAGCTGGGGTGGTAAGACGGAGCGCTCTATTTTGTTTGACATTGAAATGCACTACTGGGTTTTCCAAAGGATCTTACGACAAACAGGTTGAGCTTGCATCCCAAAATCTGGAAGGAATTGCTTCAGATATCACTACGCTACATTTGTTTTCAAATCGAAAAGGAGAACGGACAATTGTAGGCTTGGTTGGCAACTGATATTATAGTTACATTATATTTCCTAGACATGGGAGAGTATGAGTTACCAACACTACAGTATATCTATGTCAAAAGATTGATAATTGGCCACCAGAATAAAAAACGAAAAATGCGATGTGCGGACGCACGACATGCGTACAAACCGCAATCGCTTATTCCGCGTCCAAATAGCGAGAAACGCGAAGAAAATGTCCAAAAAGAAGAACCGCAGATATTAAAATGCGTGTATAATGAGCAGCAGGCACACGGGTGCTCCTTGCACAACTCAAAAGCAGAAGTGACCAAGCTTGATGGTCACACTCATATATTTTCCTTTCACATTTTCATTCCGTTGGCATGGGCGAAGAGTTGGTCTCTGTCGTTTATTCTGGCGACAAAGACTTCATGAATCATTATGACGAAATTGAGTTTAACGGCAAGGTCACGGATGACGACAAGAGTGCCAATGTCTTTGACAAACAAAGGCCACCCAATGCTTCTGATCCCAAAACTGCCGATTCCTTGATTGCTGCCCAAATGACAAAGCTATCAATCGCTGATCGAGAAAAGGCTTACATGGACATTCATGGCATTTCAGAAGATGCTCAAGAAACTCCAGAATTGATTCAGGAAAGTTTGTTGCTACTTCAAAATGAAATCAATTTGTTGCCCGACAAGAAAGCTTACATCATTGCTGGCCAACTGGATCCCAAATATACCCAGGATAGGGACTTCTGCCTCGCCTTTCTTCGATGTGAGAAGTTTGATTGCCAAAAGGCAGCCCTACGGATCGTACGGCATTTCCAAATGAAGCTGGACTTGTTTGGTCAGGACAAGCTCGCGACGGACATTACTCAAGACGATTTGGATATGGATGACATGGATGCTTTGTACAGTGGTGCTGGACGCTTTCTGAATGCATATGACAGCGCAGGAAGGGTTATCAATTTTGTAGTGGGAAAGCCGAACAAGTTCAAGACGGATGCAGTGGTAAGTCAGAGTCTGGAATCTTTCTTTTTAATGATTACTCGGCCTTTTTATGCCAGTACTGTATGTGCGACACCCATCTCATTCAATCCTTATTTTCAGCTTCGGAAAGGGTTTTACAATATCATGGTGGCATTTCGTGACAACGCGGAGATACAACGGCGTGGAGCAGTCACCGTCGGCTGGACTGTTGGCGATGTGAAAGGAACAAGCGGGGACGATAATGATCTCGCCTGGAAACTGCCAAAGTTGAATGAAGGATCTCCCATGCGGATATCAGCTCTCCACTTGTGCTATACCGATGACGGTTGGAAGGAGGACAGACTAGCACTGATGAGAAGCGGTTTGAACAAGCAGCTTATCGTGCGAGTTCGGGTTCATCATGGTACAATGCATGAATGCTTGCAGCACTTACGGCGACATGGAATCGTCCCAGCTTGTATCCCAGTCAATGAACACGGCGAAATCACAGATCATTTGGAGCATTGTCGTCAACTGGAGCAACAGCGGAAGCATGAGCGTCTAAAGTATCCCCTTCGACATAGCATTGCGGTTCCCTCTCCACAGGATGTACTTCTCGGCAAAGGCACTCCCTTTCAAAATCACCCAGGTAACAAGAAGCTCCGGCAAGTGGTTGTCGATCGATACAAGGAATATGAAAAGGCGCAAAAAGGTTTTAAAAGATTGATTGTTAAAGAAATCGTTGATCTTATCAGGGGCAACGGAGCCCTATTTTTGAAGCAAGATGGGAAGAAATGGGTCCCAGCCAACGATGAAGTAGCGATGTTGAAAGTCAGCGCTGCTTTTCGAACGTTGCGGCGTAAGGGCGGGGTACAGTAGTGGCGATGAACTGATCGGACTTGATTGCTGATCAGCAATAAGATGATGGCAGACGACGTAGCAGGGTCTTGGGCTGTTTCGAATTGCGCAAGAATTTGCCTCGAACGGAAGGGCGATGGGTGGAAGAAGGTCCACATCTCGTTGGAAATTATAATTTTTCTTTACCGTCATCTTTGATATGCCCACAGGCTATAAGTCAACTTCGAATGCTGTGTATGTATAAGCTTCCAAACGCTCGACTCAAGCATCACGTATTGGTGGCAACACCGCCTCTTATATTCCGAAAGCATTTCATAAAAGTGCCAATCGCATTCTAGCGCTGGTCAAATTTTAGAGTGAGAGTCGAGTCTTCTTTGGATGAAAGTGGCTATCATGGTGGTCCCCAAGACAAACTACGTTTGCTGGACCTACCCCCACAAGGCCCAGAGCCATACGTGTGCGTGTGTCTGTCCCATATTTGGATTGTTTTTTCTTTTCTGGCAAAGTGATCCATATGGAAGATGTAATTCGGTTTGAAAGAGTGGCGGGTCTGCTGGTGTTATGGCACAAAGAGTGGGACAAAACAGTAGGCTGGCGCTGGACACGTTCATGATGACTGCCTGTCACGACGGAAGCAAAGATTGGACGGCCGACCTCAGTTTTGTCTGGATGGATCATTGTGTCCAGAAGGACGACTCGATGAATATTCATTCGTTCGATGATGTGCAGCTGGTACTGCCGAATCAAATTTAGCAAATGCAGGAGCAGCAGCTGCCTTGGCTTGTGATTTATGTCTGTACCATTTCAATCCATGCATCAAATGCGCGGATGACGGATTCCTTTCAAATTCACCGGTGGGGAAGTATTAGCCAAAAAGTGGGCAGACAAACATGCATGTAAAGTAGGGTTGATCACTAGACCCAATTTTGTACACCAAGAAGTTGGCATCTGGGATGGAGCACTGCTGGACGTGATGACCATTGATGATTCCATCTTGATAGCGTTCATTCAGAACGCTTCTTGCATTCCTATCTACCAACGGTGCAACAAGCACACCATTCTGTGGAGGCATTCTAGTATCTTGTTCCGGTGGCCTCAACGTGAGTGAGCCATTGCTAAAGGTCAGTGGAGAAATATCGCTAGATGCCATACTCGGGACAGCCGAAGCCAAAGCCTCTTGTTGGTACAACTGAATTCTCTGTCGAGCTTGTTGAGGGACATATGCTGGTGGAAGCACAGGGTCACCAGTATCTCGATATGGTACCTCGCGACAGTGGCGGTTCATATCTGCCGGAGAGTTCGGTGCTTGCCTTCGAAAGTGATGGCAATCAAAAAACCGTTTGAGAGCTGCAGTCTTTGCCTCGTCTTCCGAATGGTACCATTGCAAGTCTCCAGCTAGCCCAGCATAGCCCCTTTCTACCATCGCACCCGATAGAAAACATTCTCCAGAAAAGGGACAGACATATGCACTGGAGAAGATATTCTCTTCAGGATGTGGCCAAACAACAGTCTGTCCTCTAAACTCCCGCCTATAGACTCTGCCTAGCTCCGCACAAAACTCGTCATTGTCGCCATCCCAGGAGGATGAGATCGAGCCCGGGTTTGTCGGTGAGGTGGAAATTGTCATATGGGATGATGATCCCATTGAAGCATCTTCCACTTGCCCGACAATATGGATCCGACTTATTTCTTCCGAAGAACCATCTCCTTGACTTCGGTGCGAGTTTGCATCTGAGGCGAAATTCAAAGTGCCCATAGCACCATCCCCAACTTGCTCGATTGCATTGATTTGTCTCGTTTCATCGGAGGCGTCACCAAACATCCCTCGACTCGAGGCTGCATTCGAATTAGGTGCACTCCTCCCTCCACTATCATCGGTTGCTTGCACAACATGTGGAGCCAGTTCCATATTTTCCATGTTGATCACCATCGACTTTGCATCGACAAACACAAAGTGCGTTGTCATTCTGAGTCGAGTAGGAAACTCACACCCTCGCCTTCAGGTTTTTGTGCGAAGCAAGCCGTTAGCCGTTGCGATGTCATCGTCACCGTATCTTATTACAATATGTGCGGAGTCATTTCTGATTTTTTGGTCGAATTAGTCACATATGGGACAATAGCGCGTAATATGTGCTTGCGCCTTGGCACAAATACGGATAAATTTTTATGGGCCATATATTTGCTGCAAAGTAGATCAACATATTTACAAGGTAGGACTATGGTCTTGTACATCGCAAATATAATCTAAGCATGCAATCCGATTTCGCGTAGCAAGTAGAAGAGGACATCTAGATCGTTTGTTGATCTTGATAGCATTCTTGACCACAAAACCGAGGGAGGCGCCATCTTCAGCATTTTTCTTCCACCGCGATTCAATCGTAGATAAAAGTCGATCATACTCCAACAGCTTTCATCCCCAAAAGGACCATCCACATGTTGCAACGTGTCGTTTTCCTTCATACCATTGAGGAGAGCAACAGCCAAAGTATGATGTATTTCTCCAAACAAAATGGACTCGAGACCTTTCATCTTGGGCAAAGACTTTGCGAAATACTCAAAATCGTCCGAAGGAAGAGGAACATTCTTGAGATTTAGCTTCGATAAATGCAGATTGATCACCAATGCCTCAGCAACTTCCCTCAATAGATAATCATCGCTACTGCCCGAAACATCCAGTTCTTGAAGAGTCGTATTATTTGCAAGGCCACTGATGATTGGTTTGAGTCCATTCGGTCCCTCGGTATTGACACCTACAAGCTTGAGGACTTCGAGTCCTGTATTACTCTCTATGCAATGTGCAATACATCCCAGGACATGGTCGGACATGGGGCTGTTGGACCGGGAAATGTCGAGAAACTTTAGGCTCATTACCTTAATCAGATCACCAATGAGATTAAAACCCTCCTCCGAGCTTATCAAGATCCTCTGCATGGTGAGATGCGTCAGGTTATCACACTTTTTCAAACCTTCAATCAGAATCTCCATGGATTCTATCGTGAAATGACTTCCAGAAAGATCAATGTGCCGTAGGCTCGTTACTTCCCTAAGCCCTTGAACAAAGCTTTTCCATCCATTTGATGAGAGCAAAAAGTCTTCAGCGGAAGATCCATCGTATCGCAACTCCAGCTTCTCCAAAGTTGAGTTGACAGCGAGGGCTTGCGAAAATGTCAAAATGTCACAATCAAGTATCTGATAGTCGCAGGAGAGAACAAGTTCCTTCAGCGCCGAATTAACCCTCAACGCATTGGCAACCGCAGTGATACTGGTATCATTTTCAAGTCCGGACAAATCCAAGCATTGGAGTTGGCATTCTGGATGCTCTAGAACTTGTTGAATTGCTTGTATACCTACACTTCCAACATCAGTGAAAGTTAGAATGAACTTTCTGAGCTTGTGTGCGCTACTTGCAAACAAATCCACCAGAAATTGTTCAGGGTCCATATCCATCTCCGAAATGCGGAGAAGCTGAAGGGATTTGGAGGCCCCGATAGCATTGGCAAGTGATTGGTATTTAGAGCTCGGAGGATATAATCGATCCAAACGGGAATCTTCATGCCAGCAACCAGATAGATGCAACTGTTCAAGCACGGTACTCGTCGAAACCACTTTGCACAAGCATTCCATGTTGGCTTTAGTCAACTCTGCTGCTTTCATCTCAAGCACCCTTAATTTGCTGGCCGACCCGAGAATATCTCCAATGGCCGAAGAAACTTTGGATGAAAGATCTCCTATCATATATCTTGGAAGTTCCAATGCTTGGACGAACTTGGCGACATCCCTGCAAACTAGATCTTCATCCCGTGGCTTCAACATTTTATCAGGGTTTGTGACATACACATTGAAACGATGCATCTCTAGGCTATTTCCCTTGCATTTGTGGCACACTATTGTGATTATATTGTTCTCAAAATTGAAACGGCAGTGGTTGTACTTTCCAGCATCACGACAGGTGGAGCAGTTTGGATATGTCTCGCATGGCGCTGACGTATCATTGATTTTCTGCTTGACGGTCGTGATTAGATCATCGAAGTGATATGACTCATTTGGATACGGGATGTCGGTTTCCCCTTCGTTGAGGAGGATGTATCTCATCGTTTTGTTGTATTTTCCCTTAGTTGTGGTTCAGCATCATAAAGAGCGGTTGACCTCTTGCGCTTCTGCAGATCGAACAATAAATTGTACTATATGCTTTGTTTTACCATATGCCGTGACGCCGATTGCTGATGATGATGGTGATATTGAATATGCGCGATGGTATAATGCGATGATATAAAATGCGATGATGATATGCGCACCGCGGACGGACAACGATGACATCCACTGGATACTATATTTTATATGCAAGATTGCAAGAACAAATCCTTTTGAAGCTTATATTCTGTACGAGTATGTACATCTAGAAAGACAATAACTTTGTTTATTTCCCTTAAAATTCGTCCCTGCTGGACCTCCGCCCAAGGCCTGATAGGCAAGAGAGTCTCTGGTGTCTCAAAGACTCAAGCTTTTTGAAAGGGCACTGTTGCTTGGTAGGAAAGTCCCCCATGATGCAGTGCTGTG